CGCACGCACGCACGCGGCTGGAAGCGCGCGGCAGCACCAAGATAAACGAAAAACGCCAGGAGGGCGACGCCAGTTTTAAGAACCGAAGAAAAAAAAAGCAGCCGCGCCGGTCCACGCACCTCGCGCCAGGACGCCGGTGCGCCTACGAAATCTTCAGCGAACCAACAGCTGCTGCCGCTAGAGCGGCTGCCGCGCCGTTTGGCCCGGACTGCTCGCTTTCCTCTGCTACGCTGTCGTGTGTTTGAACATACTTGAGAATCATGCGTTTGCTGCTGTCCTCCAGCTCGCCGCCTAGCATTACTTCGTCCAGCACAAAATAGGCTCGATGGAAGTTGAAGATGAGATCCAGCTCGCAAACGTTGCCAAAGTAACGATCCAGAATCTCCACAAAGCGGTGAATAATCTCGATGGTAATCAACTCATTGTCGTCCTTGTCGATACAGGCGATAAAGTACAGAGAGGCATAACGGCGACAGACGTACTTGGAGCCGCGGTGCTCCAAGATATTGGAAAAACGGACCGAGCGACCCAATGCAAGTTGACACACCTCACGCACAATTTTGGCCCTTTCCTTCTTTGAATAGGTCAGATACCACTTTGCCAGCCGCAGCTTGCCCTGCCTACTTATAAGCAGCAGATACTTTATCATTTGAAGAAGCGTAAAGTGAACAAAACCCTTCTGGTTCAGTACGCTCTTCTATAAATTACTTCTTCAGGGTTTACTTTTGCTGTTGTTGTTTCCTTGACAAAGCCAATAATAAAAACAACAAACACAATGAGAACAACAAGCATAAATACGAAACCCACCCAACTTCAAACAACAGCTGCATCCCTCCAGAAAAAGAATCCTCAGGGAACTTCCCTACCCCAAACGACAACAACAAAAAAAAAACGCACAAAAACTAACTCGCAGACTCATAGAGAGGTGCTGCGGCAACGCACAAAATCATCCTTGGCGGAAGCGCCATGCGATAAAAAACAATCCCAAGATCCCCCTCAAGTAACACCATAGGGTTGAGCTTATACAACACGTCTGGGTGAACACCATACAAAGCGGCAATGCTTTCCACCGTCTCTGATGGCTTCACCCTGTGGTATTGTATGTGCGTATTGATGTTCTTCGTCCCACCCACCGCTACTTGCAAAGACAGCGCCTCATCATCATATTCCTGCTCAACACCTACCGAAACTGCTGGTGCCCGGATCGGTCGCAAAAAGGACCCCGAAGCCGTCCTGCTGGACAAAAGCGATGGCTCCTGGCCCGCGAAACCCTGATTTTCATCTAAACCGATTGGACCATCTAAAATATCACTATTCGTGGCGGAGATGGTGTTCGTGCTGTCCGGGAAGAAGATGGGCGGGGCCTTAATGACGTGGTGTCGTGATGGAATATTGAAACCGCATCCTCGTGATGGGGTCTGGTCCGTTGCACCGTGGGAGAATCCACCTCTCCAGGGAGTTCCCACTATGTTGCTATCTGTGGTGGTACGCCGCTCGTGCTCTTGATGGGAATCGTGAGTGTAACCAATTGCGTACTCCGACTGACGCGATTCGCGATAGGGCGGAGGCGAGGACACCACAGCTGTCCCATGTGTTCTTGCCAATTTCTCACCGTATTGAAACGCCAGATAATTGGTGCGGTATTCTTCTTGCTGCTGTTTTTCAAACGCCAGAGTTGATAACGAAGGAAATGCCCTCATACTACCGTTATTATGCGGCTCCAATGAACGCGCAAGTGTGGCGGGTTGTCTCAGTTCGTCCGAATACCGATCAAGGAGTTGCGTGAGCCACTGTCCCGGCTTCTCCTCTTGGGTCAACTGCGGTTGCTTCTGCTGTTGCGTTCCCCCACCACGGTGAGTGCATACCACCAAGGCCGGCGGTCTTTCCATCCTTCTTTCAGACGCCTCTCCTCCTCTTCTCTCCACCGCAGTCTTGCCATATGGATCTGCCGCGACTGCATCTGTTCTTATGTCACTTCTTCGTGTCGTGTGTAGCTTCTCAGCCGATGAAAATGCCGCTGATGCCTCATGCCAACCATCGCAAAGGCGTTGCAGTTTATGAAGTCGCCGATCCATTGCCATGCTTGCACGTTGAACGTTTCTGGCATCGTCCGAACCAAGAAGGCCGAGGACAGCCCGCTCCGAGGCATTGGCGAGAATTCTCGCCGCTTCCACGTACTCCTCATTCATTAACACCCTCTCGTTTAGCGCCCGCGGAGAAAAAAAGTGAGACACAGTAAAGAAAAACAACACGAATAAAGGTTGTTCCGCGTGACCTTTCCCCTTCCTCTTGCCAACAACAAAACAAACAAACAATAAAGCACGTCCTTCTCGTATCCATAACTTTATGTGGATCGGTGTCATTGACAATGCGTCCCCTCGCCTTTCCCAACTGACCATTCTCCGTCCTCGCATCTTACTCGTTTTTGGTTTGGAACAAGCGCGCTGGTGAAACAGAGAGGGGCATAGAGGAGAAGGGAGAAACGCTGTGTACATGCGGCACACAGATGAGGAGACGCTCCGTCATCACTTAGCTTGCGCATGCCGTCTCTTCGGCAACCCATCATTCGGCAGACACCTTCCAAACGATGCGTCGTAAAAGCGGTCGTCCATGTACTTCACCATTCCCCAGTTTGATGCAAGACGCAACAGCGCGTCTTCTTCGCCACGGTTGCACACGGCAGCGGGGCTCCGTGCCACTTCCTGCCCACGCTGCCGCCAGACTCCCTCCACCCGCACCACATACTCAGAAACGCGGCAGAACACCATTTCTGCGAGGAGTGCGCGGCAGGTGTGCTCTGCAAGAACCTGCCAGTAGTGACCACTGAATCTTTCTGCCCCTGATCCGCCTTCTCCAGATGTTTGCAACGGGCATGCGACGCTATCGGGCTCCAATGCCCACCGCAACTGTCCCATCACACCGCGACAGAACACGCCCTTCCAGTAGTACGAGTGCTCGCCTGCAGCACTGTCAGCGACTACATTGCCTCGCTGCTGCTCCTTGCTGTTCCTCAAAATAGCTGCCTCCGCTCCCTCGTCCTTCTGTCGCTGCTGCTGGTGCTGCTCTCCACCTATAAGAAGCGCCTGGAAGTTGCACAGGTCAAATACTGTTTCACTGTTATACGTAGATGCGATCATCTGCGTCAACGCAGAGATCTCCTTGGCGTCTGCATACGGAAACATGTTGACGAGGTTTGGAAATAATTCCTTAAACGTTACAAGTGATCCGTGAAATGACGCCCCCCCCGTGAGTGCCGCCCGATCGGTGCGCAAGATGCCATTATCCGCAAGGTGACGGATGCACGCGTAGAGTTCCAACCGCCGCGTGTAGTGCTCCGCGCGATCGTAGTAGTTCATCAAGCTGCTGAGTCCGCCCTTACTTGCAGTTGGGGCATCCACATAGTCTAGGTAGGTCTCACCCTCAAATCCTTCGCCAAAACTCAGGCTTGTAGGCTTCAAGGGTGGAGAGGTACGCCGTAGCAGTGTGCACTCCTCCACTTCCCACCACAGCGTAGCCGGTGTCCAGCGCCGGCCATACTGCACAAGCGCGTTGTAGAACATCTCGAGACAAATGTGATCACGCTTTCCACGGTGCTCGTTCCAGCTGTTGAGAGGCTCTCGGCAAAGACTGCACCAGTTCTCTGTCTCATTCCAAACCCACGTGTAGGCCGCACCGGTGCTGCTTAAACCCGCCGGCGTGGCATTACAAGCGGCAGGTGTGAGTCGGTATCGCTGCTGATGATGAAGAAACACACGGGAGGAGGACTGCAGCGGTGACACCAATGGAATGCATTGTGTCTGGAACAGGCGGCAAAGACCGCATGTGGCACCTCTCTTGTGCCACATCTTATGCCGCTCCTTTCCTATTCCTTTCCTTTTTTTTTTGTTTTGCCCTGCGTGCGGCAGGCAGGAGGAGGAGGTCGTGGCTCGCTCCCCTCCCTTCCGCGGGGGAAATTGTGGAAGTCAGAAGGCACGGCAGCTGGACAGCAAGGCGCCTCACGGGAAAGGGGGAGGGGGGGGGAACAAAAAACAAACAGTCACTCAATAAGGACAAGGAGAAAGAGGGGGGCAAAAAAAAACACGTACAACAAAAAAAAAAAGATAATCATTACGTTCATGAACCAATGTATATTCTTTTTTTGCTTTTACTCTCTGGCCTTATATTTCTTTCTCTCACTCTATCTCTTTATTTTTTATTTCTGGCACGCTCATTATTAACGTCGGACGAATTCACTGCCCCGGAAGGCAAACAATAAAAATTGGGGCCCTCCACACAACCAAGACAATCCAGCGATGCAATGTGTGTGTGTGTGTGTGTGTGTGTGTGGGTGTGTGTGTGGGTGTGCGTGTGCTGGGAGTAGCCACGCGTCTGCGCAGCCCACGAAAAGCAGGTGAATCCATACCGTCAAGAGTCATGCATACTTGCAAACGTTCTCCCATGCAAAGCCTGGGTTATTAGAAGGGACGGAGAACCGTACAGCAAGCAAAACAAAAAACCTTCTGAAAAACAAGGATAAATCACATGACTTTGAGTTGATCACTGCCACATAGGTAGGCAAGGCACTCCAGTCCGTGTGTGTGTGTGTGTGTGTGTGTGTGCGCGCGCGTCAGACAGAAAGAGAATCCACGTGTGAAAGAAATCAACACCTCGAAAAAACATACAAGGTGTATTGTGAGTCTGTAATCGGGTCTTTGATGCACTCTTTCCCCATGCCACTTCGTCAACGCGTACTTTAGTCATCACCCGCATTTGTTGTCTATACTGTTCCTCGACAACTACTTTGAATTCTCGTGTGGCCATTGCTTTTTTGAAGCTTCTTTCATTCAGCGAAAGCGGCGATAATTATATATATATATATATATAATTATTCTCTCCCTCACTCTCTCGTTTTCATTATCTCCCTCCCTCTTTCTGTACTTATATGCATATGTATTTGTCTCTCTTTCAACCCGAGCTGGCGAAAAATCAGCGTCCCTTCTCTTTCCTACAGCAGTTCGCATTTGGTAGAGAATGGGGCATCTCAACCATAAAAAGGTCAACAAAAACTGGTGGGAATAAAACATATTGAATCCTCGTTTCATCTACCTGGCCTTTCATTGCCATGCTTTTCCTCAATTATACGAGTGTTGTGAGCGTGCTGCTTGCAGCGAGGCTCGATGATTCCATAAAAGTGTCAAGCGGCGCATCACAGCATGTCGGTAGCGTATCAACGTTACTCGTTGTGCGAGTCAGTAGCACGCTGCTGACATTATTGGTATCGCCACCAAATCTGGTGCTGTGCCACGGTGGATGTAAACCAATTCCACTATCCCCACCATCCCCACTTCCCCCGCCTGATGTGAATGCGGGTAGGTGACAAACGTGCGCCTGCTGCAATATCAAGTGCTGCTGCAACCACTCGATTGACTCCGAAGGCCATTGACGAAACGTGCTACTAGCTGTTGGGCTGCGAAGAGTCTTTTCTGAACTAGCGCGGCTAAATGAAAAGGCCCGCGAGTGCCGGTATTGTTGTTGTTGTTGTTGTTGGTACTGCTGCTGCTGCTGCGCCCGCGGGCTCCGCAAGAAGGTTTGACGCGAAGCATGAACTGTTGCCGAGTAATGTAACGAAGAACTTGTCGATTGCCGTCGTGGCGTTGACAGGGAAAACCCACTTTCACTTTCACGGGTTTTTATTCTCTGGTGGTGCCGCCCCTCGTCCAGTGGCAGCAACTTCACCTTGTTGAGCTCAAGGGGAACTGCTGCATCGCTCTCCACCTTTGCAGTTTCTCTTTTGCTATCGCTCTTATCTACGCTAGGCGTCTCCCCCAAAATTATTCGCAGCCGATCCGGTGCATCGCCAATTGGATATGAGGCGGCAAACAGAACAGGATCTAGCAGGCCCAGAGGCTTAAAGAGAAACACGGGATCTGGGCGGTCCCGGAGCGTGTCATTGCTGCTGTTTTTGCTTCTTTGAACCATGACCTCCTTCTCTTCTCGTGTCTGGGACGCCAATAACAGCTGTGGTGCTCGCTGACAGCAAAATGAGTGTCGTCGCCGCCGCGGGACGCCGGCACTGACAGAGTGCAGCGTCAGCAGATCGCTCCCTCGCGCTCTCAGCCCCCCACCAAGACACGCCGAAAGCTTCGATGACGAGTACGACGAGCGCACCCGGGGAATCAATGACAACATCGTTGGACTCTCCTCAAGGCTATTCAGGTTTGCGTCATGGGCACCCTGAGTATCCCCGTCGGCGCTCTGCTCGCTATCTCTACCGTGACCCGAGAAGGGATTGATCACCTCCTGACAGATGCTGCAACAGGGGACACTCTTTTCACATGCAGCGCTGTGTGACCCGCGCCGCGGCGGCTGCCCGAGCGGTGTTGGCGGCGCCGTCGCGGATGCCCCGATGGCACACGGCTCGTAGTCATCGTAGTCATCGCATTCTTCCTCATCAACAACAGTGACGAGCCGCCGCACGGCTGGGGGCGCGTCGGAGTCCTGCTTGAGGTCACCCAGCACAGCCTTGAGCTTGCGCTTCTGCTGCGTCACGGGGTCGGTCGCTGACACCGCGTTGCGGAGGCTGGTGATGCTGTTGCGCGAGCCCTGCGTACCCACCGAGCGCTGCGAGGAGCGGCGCAGGGATCTATGCGGTTGCGAGAGGGTGCACTCGATGTCAAAGGAGCACGATTCTTGGAACCCCTTCCGACCCATCGTTGTTGTCTTTTATCTCCCACACGAGTGCCCCCTTTTTTTTTGTAAAATTCAGCTCCAGCACGAGCACGGACTATAGTGTAAGTAATTCAGCGTGTATATAAAGCAGTTACCTTTTCCTTCCTTTTCTAATCACAGAGCAGAGAAGGGAAGAAGGAGAGACGACAAGTACCACACATCCACACGAACACATACAAGTGTGCAGGAGAAGCATGACCATTATATGCATATTGCTCCTGTTGCTCAGATCTTTTGAAGTTACGCTTAACTATCAAACATTTCATCACCTTTCCTTACCCACAGGATGCTGCTACTCCTTTCTTTTCTCCCCATTGGCGTTTTCATGCCGCCACTTTTCCATCCTATTATTCCACTCGTTTGAATCATAGCCTAAAATAGGGTACAATCTCGTCCTCCATACGGGCGGCACAACACAGAACGAGCAGGCGGGCCGCTATGCAGGCCAGTCCGGCAAGGCGCACACACGCACAAACACAGAGGGGGCATATTCCACATGCAGCCCCCCCCCCCCCCCCCCNCCCCCCACGCAAACGAAAGAAAAAGGGTAGATGTGGGCTCTCACATCACACTTCCTTCGGGCTAAAGCAAAAAACTCCTAAATATTCTTCTCCGTCCTCTTAACATAATTTTTTTTTTCTTTCCCTCTTTGGCTTCGTTACGACGTGAGCATTTACAAACCCCACATAGATCGCATTTATCAGACAAATAAAATTTGTATTTTCCTCCCTTCCCTTGGGGTCGTATTTTATTTTGTTGTTTGTTCGCTCTCATTTGATACGACTGTGTTTTTCGCCTCGTGTTGGTCGCGAAACGGGTGCGGGGGCGTGGCGGAAGCCGCATCGAGATCCCGAAGCAACACACACACACACACACACACACACAGACAGGCAAAATACGAAAAGAACAAAGAAACAAACAAAGCAACGAAGCAAACCAGAGGAAATAATTCACACTTAGCCCTTGCGGAGGCGAGTGGGGGCTGGGAGAAGCACACATCGCCGTTTCAGTCTGAAGCCTCGCACCAAACTTGAAAAATTCAGGAAGAAGACAAAGGACACAACCGCCGTCTGCCAATAAAGACACACAGAAAAAAAAAGAGCCCGAAAACAGCCACACAGAGGCAGACCCTTAATCCGTTCTCTGCTGCTTCCTCCACACGTGTACTGGCGGGGTGTCAGACAGTCTGCGGGCACGCTGATTGTGCAAACCCACCGTCTGTGCACGCGCGTCCCCATTTGTGTGTGTGCTCCTCCAATCCTTGAGACGGTAGACATGTGAGCCCACACACCCACAGACCGGCGGAGCGCACAGCCCCCTCCCGACACACCACCACCACCAACAACAACAACGAAAATAAAGAAAAAAAAACAGCAACAAAACCAAGCTATTAACGAGAGACCTAGGGGGAATAAAAACCCAAATAAAAAAAGGGAGACGCACACGGATCGAACAAAAAAAAAAAAAA